CCCCACACAAAATTTAAACATTAACTTAATGGACATATAGCCTTTAAAAAATTGTTTCCCTCAGAAAACATATTTTGTAATAATACAGAAGAAATGTTTAAGGACAAAAAGTAAAGGTTGGTAGGCATACCCCAAATATTTCTGAAGGAAAAGTTTATCGTGAAATCCTACAAATAGAAACGTACAAACCAATTGCCTATTTTCTGACCACCGTGGTAATTATGCTAACTGGAATCACATTTTTGTAAATCAAAGAGAAATTTAAAAATGTGTTTTCCAACTTTAGTTTTAAAGTGGTAATCTAAGTATGTGGTGTAAAAAGTTAGTATTCAGTAAATATGGAGGGTAACTCATACCTTAAATTCCTCCAAGATTTTGTAATTTTTCCCATGATATTCACAAAAGTTTTTCACTTCTTTGCACTCAGGACAGCATCCATTGTGTTCCACTTTAGTACACTTTGGGTGAATTTTAGGGCATTCTGGCTGGTCGCAAACAGGTCCATCCAGAGCACAGACACATGGACAGTTGGAATGCCCTGGGAAGAATCGTTCTCCCAACTTGTATACAAAGCCGCTGTCATCCACACACCCTTTCCCTCGATAGTCATCAAAAATCAGATTGTCATTACTGGAGGTCTGGTCACCTTCATCAGCAGGATAGTCTTCATGACTGATGGCAGCAGAGGTGACCAATCCAGGGATGACCAACAGAAGTATGCAAGCTTCATGAATATGAAGAGCCATCCCCCTCCTTAAAGGCTTCTGGATGTGCTCCTGATATTAGATAAACTCAGCGCCTTCCATGGGAACACAAGAGGGGTAGGCTGAAAATAAATATTTAAAAAGAACAATTTGACATATATAAAGAGAATATAGATATATTTAAACCCATGCTCTTAACCTGCTTACTTGAGCTAGATCTGGAGGATACCAAGATCTTATACTTAAATACTAAGTTCATGCAACCATCTGTACTTTATTATAAAGTTTGGAGGATTGATAAATGTGTCCTTTATGGAGTTATTTCACCTAGGAAGCTTCAGCTTAAATTTACCTTATGAATTTCAAAGGTCTTGCCTTGTCTAAATTGTAAGAAGTGGTTTCACTGAGACTCCAAGGGGGATTTTACTAGTAGTTCCTTACAAATGACTCAAGAGTATTTGAATTCACCTTCTCTATTATTCTTTAGACTAATCAGTGGGAGAATGTATGTAGGTTACAATCATCTGTATGAAAACTCAAGAGATTAGTGAGGAAACATCCTACTTCTAAAACAAAGGGAAGAAACCAACACTTGAGTGTAAATTATAATTGGGTTGAAGCTAGTGTAAAGCCCATGGTTGGAGAACAGTGGTCTCAATATGGGTTACTTGTATTAGTGAGCATGAATCTGGATTTTGAAACATAGTTAAGAAGGAAAATAGAACAATTACTCCACAATGAATAAGAGAAAGAAAATTTTAATAAATAAGCAAATGCCATGTATTGAAGGATTTGTTAAAAATTTATTTCTATTATTGTCCAAATCTTTACTCAGGAAGTAAGCTTCTAGTGGGCAGGAAAGATGTATCTGTAAATTATTCTTATAGCACCTTGATTCTAGTATCCATGTAATAAATACTATTCGAATTAATTACTTCAATTAAAAAAAATAAGTCACGTAGTCTTGAAAAGCATACTTTTTTTGACATGCCAAAGATATTTGCATTTAGGCAATTTGCACAAAAATGCCAGTGTAAAATTGTTTATTGAAGTTTCTTAATAAGATGTTGCCACTCATAGGAAATATACCTTATTAATTTGGTGTCATTGACTCTTGTAAACTACTAAGTGCTTGGTGGGTAGTTTTGGTAGTGGTCTCTTATTTAAATGTTTTAGAGTGACTAACTCATAGAAAGCCTTGGGGAAACTGTGACTTTAGGGAGTAATAGATAAGAGAAGTGCCAGATAGTTCATTTGCCTATTTAAATGCTACTGGCTTTATGCCAATATTGTTAAAATTATATATAGGACATTTTCAGATCATTTATAAATATTATTCATTGGTTTATGTTCAGGTTATAATAGCAAATGGTAAACTCTTAGTCTAACATATATAGGTGATTATTTTAAATGAGCTAAAGATGGCATTAGGAAACTTCCTGAACTGTTATATTTGCATTTCAAGTTAGATATGCAAATTTTAGTAATAGTAAAATGGAAGGTAGTATAACCACATCTTCCTTCAAGAGAAAACTGCTCTCTAATGTTAAAATTCCTTTGGGGTAGGTAATACTAAAGGAGATAGATTTCTTTTAACAAATGTCAAAAATAATGAGTCATGACAGAACAAAAAAATGCAAACCTATAATTCTACTTGAGAAGCTGGAAGCTCCCTTTGACAAAGCATTTTTTCTCTTAAATTACTACAGAGGCCACAAATATAACAGAAGCTTCTGAAAAAGCATAATTTACTAATTAAGGCATGCATTTATACATCTGTTACATATTTAGAAAGTTTATCTTAGAAGAAAAAGGGGCTATTATGTTTTCTTATAGTTTTTAGTAGTATCTGTCAATACATGCAAGATAAGTCACAAAATACACTATCATTCTGTTTCAAAAGGACAGACAGAAAATCATCTCTGCAAGCTACAGGTAGGCATTAATGTGCCAGGTTAGGGTAGATACAAACTTACAGGTAAAAATAAAGGTGTAATACCCACTTTATATAAACATTAAACATACTTTTATTATATGAAATACATTATAAAATCTGTATAGAGAAAACAAGGTATTTTCAATATAAGAAAGTTATTCATCTTTTTTAAAAAAGCATTCTTCATCAATGCACTACTCTAGTGCATTTTAAGATACTATTTAAGGGAAGAAACATTAGAGAAATCAAAATATTTATCTGAAGATTTTTCATAAGTAAGTAAACATTGCTAAACTGAAGATCACTTCCCAGCTAAACTTTCCCCCCTCCCCATATTGCTACATATGATTTAAAATGACTGCATCTATTTCTTTGAGAAAACAAACATAACTCATGTCATAAGATACACTTACCTAATCACTCTGGAGGTTAATGGTGGTGGTGGGGGTCATAGACCAATATGAACTAAAAGAGCAGGTATGTTTTAGGAAAGCAGTTTCTCTTTAATTATCCAAAGAATACATTTTCAGGCTTGAATTAAAGGCAATCCATTCTACCTCCCATTTCAAACCACAGTCAAGGAGCAGTCTCCCGCCCTTCCAGAGAGAAACACAGCAGACACACATAAGAAATATGCTTTAGACCTGTCTTCAGAATTCAAAGCAAGAAGCAATGCTGGTCCTGTAGCAATCCAGACCCCAGTAGCAGAATCATGTTGAACTTATTTTTAGGCTTTTCCCAGATCCTTCTATGAAATTTCCTGGCTGATTACGCCTCCTCCACACATGAGTTCACTTACAGTGTTTGCTACGGCAGTAGAGGTGATTTGGCTAGGCTCTGAGGATCAAAATCAGCAACAGCATGCTGTAGCTTAAAGCCTGCTCCGCCGGCAGTATCATCAACATCATCCACAATACGTTGCTTGAATCCTCTTTTACACATCAGAAAATACTAACTGTGGACGTGAAGGAAAGGAGCAACTTTAGCTGGGTTTCTGCATCACTGGGAGCAGTTTGCAGATTGCTGATTTGGAGCTCATTCTATGCCGGCAGCCGGGAATTCCTCAGCACCACGGACAGCGCCAACAACTGGCTTCAAAGCCCAGCTCGGTCGAAATCCCGAGCTGCTCCTTCTGACCGGGCTAGAGTGTTCTCTAAGCAGTCGCACTTTATACAGAGGATGCGTGCATTAGGAGGGGGAAAGGCATTTTGCATATGAGACGCTTATTTGCATTGAAATTACAGTAAAAGTGAAAAAAATTCTAATTATACCTAAAGCATTCTTGCATTGGCTGCAGCGATGAAAGTTCCAGAAGAGCCTTGCATTTAGATTTAAGCCATCTGCAGTCTCCGATTATTATTAACAGATAAAGCATAATCATTGTCAAAGAATCTGTGAAAATGTATGCTCCCCGATTCTACTTGACCCTTTGGCTGCAGAAAGGCTTCTCCCGTGCTACATGATTAAACTTCAGGTCTTTCTGCAGTTTAAATTTGATTTTAAAAAAGTACCTTGGTTCTCCTGCAGTTTGTTTTCTAACATTCAAAATCAATCTCCTGTAATTCATCTACTCTGTCATTAGGCGTCATTGTAAAGCTGTTTCTTCCAAACAGCTAGCAAGGATGCTCTGTCTCGAAATTCTTATCAAAATGAGAAAGAAAAAAGACCCAGATACAAATAAATTAGCAGAAATGTTTTTTTTTATTATTATTATTGGTAACAATGTGAGTGCTAAAATGTATGTCCAAAGTGTGTTTTAAATCAAATTGCAAATGTTACCTGCTGGCATATTTAACCAGATATTTACTGGTTTGGGACTGT